CCCGCCCCTCTTGGGGGGCGCGGGGCAGCGCCGCCATGTTCCCCTGTGGAGGGGCCGCGAGGGCCACTGGGCTCCGGACGTTTAAAGGGCAAATTAAAGTTATCTGGTCGCTGCCGGGGAACGCTATGTCAGAGCATGTGCCTGCTGTATTAATAGCACCCGGGAGGCACAGGAGGGGACTGAGGAAGCTGGCAGGAGCACCTCAGGCGACGTTAACTGTTTCGTGTGGGCCGGAGGCAGGCGCTGGGGGCTGCAAGTTTGCCCACAGAGGCCTGGGTGAGGAGACCGGGCAGCTTGTTGAGTGAAGTCAACGTGAAGAAGCGAGAGTGATTTAAGCCTTGGCTTCCTGTGTGTGGATTCACACCATGAAGGGTGAGGGGGGACGGGCGGATGCTGGGCAGGTGCCCTGGTGCGGACGTCGTGCCCTGGTGCGGACGTCGTGCCCTACAATGAAGGTCACAGAGTCAACCCCGGAGGTGGCGCAGTGGTGTGATGTTCATGAGCATCGCTCACCAGGAATGGGCTAGACCTCTCTGAGTCAAGGGCAAAGGGACCCGCTTCATCTTCGATACACTGTGTGAACTTGCAGGCGTTGAGGTCTTTAAATACCCCGGCATGCTCCAGGACCTGGCTTTCCCAGAGAGGAGGCAACATGCCTTCCTGCATTGTACCCTCGTTTCAACCCTGCAAGGTCAGACCCTCGCAAGAGTCGCAGTCAGTCTCCTCGGAAGGAGGGAGGGAGGGGAAGGGACTCTGGGAAGCACATGCCCAGGCACGCTCAAGTTGCTTGACTCACAGCAGGTGTGAAAGAAGAGTTAAGGCTGTAGTGAAACCCTGCCTTCGTTCAGTGTATGGTTCTTAGGGGAACGTTCAAGTCTCAAATTAAGATTACACCGCTCCATCATTGGTTTCCCTGTTTCTCATCTGTCCTTCCTGGCTGACTCCCATAAGAAAGCAAGAGCTTACGATTTACTGTTGGGTGACTTTCTTGTGTGGAGTGAAAGGCAGTGCAGCAAGCTTTAGATGCATACCTAGGAGTTTGCCTTAAAAAGGCATTAAGATCTGCCCCTAGGACAACGTTATACTGAGGAATGCGTAGGGTAATGAGGCCTGCTTTGATTTGGTAATATGGTATCAATAATGGAAATAGGACTCACCTTAATGTAGGTGCTAAAAGATTGGCCGTTCCACGAAGAGCCATTCTCTTCAGGACAGCAAATCTCTTCTCACTGACGTGTTTGTTAGCATGAGTCAATGAGTCTGTAAATTTGATCCCCCGTCTCTCTTGCCCTCTGCCTCTCCTCGGTCTGTTGAGGTAGAGGTCTCTTCTCATGAACCTCAGCTCTGGGAAGCACGCAGCAGCTTTAACTTCCAGGAGCACCCTTTGCACCTTGGCCATCCTGAGCAGATGGAGCCTGTCCACAGCTTCTAAGAAAGGGGAAGAGACCTCCCCTCAAAGAGACCTTTCCCTGAGCAAGGACCAAAACCAGGTGCAAGCAGGAAGCATAGGGGAGCCCTAGAATTAGACTGTGAGTTGAGAGGGGTGTTGCTTAATGTATGTACCCTTGACCTTTCCTTTTTCTTCCTCATAATTTGCTCACAAGGTCTGGTGTCTCCTCTTTTCACAGGAAAGTAAATATCCCTTTAAAGTCTCAGGGCTTCTACTGATGGTTTTGTCCAGACCCATGGGATGGTGTTGCTCACAGTTGCTGCCTGACTGTCCAGACTGTCATCTCAGTGAGTGCACTCAGGTGTCAGCTAGTGCCTTGCTGACCGGTGTCTGGTGAGTGAGAGGTGGGAGAGTGACTGTGGGATGCTAATGGGGAGGGAGGGGAATGGGGGGCCTGGAGTGAGACACTGGTGGTGGGGTCTAGCCTGAAAGGGTCTTTTGCCTGCCCCTCCCCCACCATCTTTGTTTTAACTCATTTAAATTGCCTTTTTTTTTTTTTTAAAAAGACACTTTTTAGCTCATCTAAATTGTGTGGGGTTTTTCTTAGTTACATTTTAATGAAGTCTTTATTGTAAGAATTCCAGTTTTTGAAGTTATTGTTGTGCATCACCATCCCACTCCACAGAGGCTCTTTGGTTTAATAGGTATGTCTGCAGCAGTAATACTGTTTTGCCAAGGCTGCCACTATTTAAAGAAAGCAATGCATAGGAAGTGAATAGCCACTTTTTCTGCTTCTGCTCTCCCTTCTCTGAGCCCAGATATCTATTTCCAGGAGATGCTCAGCTTCCAAACAGTTTTAACAAAAGCAGGGCTGGACCAGGACATGTGTCCACTACTCTGAGGGTTATTCATCATTTGTTTGATTTTTGCTCCAAATGCCTGTTTTGGATCTTTCCTATGTATGACAATGAGGCTTTTTATGCTACTTTCTGGAGGAGTTCAAATGTATCTTGTACCACCAAATTTGAGGATAAGCATCTTCACTAGGCTGGAAATGTCACTAAAAAACAGTGAAAGGAACTTTGACTTTTCATGCAGTTAGTTGGTGTTTGGTGTTGTATATTCAGAATAGTTACTGATACTTTCATAGAGAAATGGCTAAAACAGTTCTGAAAATGCAAGCTTTCCTTTCTGAATTACTGAAAGCCAGCTTTTAAGCCCCATCTTCCTTAGATCTTTGCAGCTTGGGAAGGATTAGCTGGCTTTCTAGGCTGAGTTTGTGGGTGCTCTGTACTGCTGACATAGCATAAAGACAGTGGAATTAAAATTCTGAGCCAAAAATAATAACCTAGATCTACATTTTCAAAAGAGATTAGTGACTGACTGCATTGTGCTTTGATGTGTGAATAGCCAGCTTGAAACACTACAGGAAATCTACAAAAATACAAAGTAGTGTGTACCCTTGTTTATTTGCATTTACAAGACACAGGGAACCCTAGTGTTGAGCGTAGTCCAGACACAAAATAATAAGGCTTTTTCTCAAAAGTCAGCAGTTTGAGTCTGACAGCAGACACAAGGGGGAGCACAAGGGATCAGTCAGACCATGCTGACCCCCAAGCATAGACAGTGATGGGGAGACAGTGTATTGGCAAGATGCCTAGAATAAATACGTGGGTTTGTGGGGTTTTTTTCGGGAAAAATTTGTAGAGTTGTAGTAAATTCTCCTTGTGTAAGGTTGGTTTATTTTTGTGGCCAGGGAGAGGAGACTAAGAGAGCCCAAAGAGGCTAAGTGAGGATGAGAGTTGAGGACAAATAACAGGGTTGGTAGAGACAAAGGTGATCAAGAAGAATGAAGGTGTGTGGGTTTTGAGTTTTGTCTTGAGCAGATATTAGTGAAGGTAATTTTAGCTGGATATTGCTGTTACCTGTGTTAGGAGCCTACAGTGAGCAGGAGAGGAGGAAAACTGGACAGTAAGTGTAAGCAGCACATTGAGGAGGGAAGTGTTAGTGCTGGAAATAGCAGTAGGAGTCAACATGGGGTATATTTGTTTATTAGAGCATGTGTGTAATGTGAGGACAAGGAGTTGGAGGAGGGTCAAAATTTCAGAAGAAAACTGAGGGAATGGATGAATACGGATATGAAACAGATGAGAAATTACTTTGTAACAGGACAAGCATGGGTTGTAAAGGTAGTAAAGAAAAAATACCCAACACGTGACACAAGGAATAGACTTGCAGGAGGTGGCACGGATTTCTTTGGCAAATCCTTTGGCAAGTATTTGTGCAGAAGATGTTCAGGAAGAGAGCATCTGAGAAGTGCATTAAAAGTGGTGAAAGGCAGCCAGGTTAACTTGGAAAAGTAGGAGGAAAAGTTAGGAGGATGGCACAACTGGAAGGGGAGAGAATTAAATGGTTGTGGATGAAGTAAACCTGATCACAGGCCAATCAGGAAATTGAAGGTGAAGGCAGACTGAGGTATGTGTTGGCAATCAGACTTCATGAGATAGGAGTGGAGAGAAAGAAACAGAGAGAATCTACAATCAAATCTGTGCTAGAGAATAAAGATAAAGCAGGAGGAAGAGGGCTGAGATTTGATGGGATTTTATCAGTTTGGTGAGATGAAAACAGTGGAAAGAGCAAATGAGAGGACCTGAGGAAGGACATGGCAAGCGAGGGAGCAGGTCAGCGAGGAGGGATGGGACAACAGAGATCAGGGGCAAAGCAATGGTTGCTGCAGACCACATTAAAGGAATGGCTCTTCCTCGCTGAGTGAGGGGTGCAGGTGAAATGAATGGACTAGAGCAAGGAGACATATGGGTGTCTGCTATAGGGTGTCAGCAAGGACATCAGCGTGAAGCTTGGAAGCTTCATTAGGATGAGTGTGAGAAATTGTGAGGAAAGGAAGAGAGTTGGTTGAAATCACAGAGGAAGGCTGATAAGGAGGAACTGGCTGGGTGGCTGCCAATTCTTCAGAGGGGAAAAGAGCTGAGATACTGCTCAAAAGCAGATAAAAAGTGATGGGGATGGTGAGGGCAGCCCCAGTGTGAGAGTAAAGGATGGGATGGAATGAGAAATGGAGGTCTCAGTAAGAGACTGAAGCTGCAGAGGGAGAGTCAGACAAGGGGACATGTGGACATAGAGATTTAACAGCCCTGTGGGAAATATTTGAAGAGTGTCTTCCAGTGGCAGCAAGTGAAGAGAAGGGAGTGGGATGGGCAGAAGGACAGAATGGAAATGTGGGAAAGGCTGATTGATCTCGAGAGAGCGGGGATGGAGAGGTGGAGGTGCAGCAAATGTTACTAAGGGCAAAAAGGAGGCAGAGTAAGAGGTAGGGCTTGGTGCCTCAGGTAGGTTGTTTAAGAAACAAGAAGGAGAAGCTGAAGCAGTAAAAAGGGAGAGAGAAAATTGGGTGAGGTGAGGAGGAAGGCAAAACTCGGGGAGTACAGGAATAAGTTGCAGCAAGAGGGCAGGGTGAGAGATGTGGGAGGAGTAACCCACAAGCAGGATTAACCAGGCTAGACAAGAGTCTCTCTATTCTCCATTGGCTGAAAAGCAACTAACGTAAGGTTAATAAATTTTTTCAATTTTTAGTGCTTCATTGACTTCACTAGTGGCTGCTCTGAGGTAGTGGAGGAGAAGGCAAAGGAAAGAGCAGGGCCTGGGGAGCCAGGGAGAAAGGAAACAAATCAAGCACTAATCCTGCAGGATTTGGTTCCGCGTCAGAGGTTCACGTCACACAGTTTTCAGAACCTCAGTTTCTTGTTTAATTCTGTTGCAGTATCAGGTGTGACAAGACTGCTTTGAATCAAATCAGTCAAGCACTAATTCCTGTTGCACGAAGAATGTCTGAAGAATGGAAATCGCAGTCTTTACTCTGAAATTAATTTCACTTCTGTATAGGATTGTATAGTAAGTACTTGGTATGCTGTAGACAGAATAACAGTATTGCTAAGATTTAGAACTTAAGTAATTTTTCCTCATAGGTCTCAACATACCTTGAGGAAAAAAAATCATCTTCTATGTCACAGGTGTACATTACAGTATATAATTAACAGATGCTACAGGGTGTCATAAAGGTTTACAGTACTGTAGAACATCTGTTCATTGTTTGATAATTAATGCATTCATGCCACAAACATAACAGCACACATTACAGATTATGGTGAACTCATTAATCAGGGGCATCGTGGACAGTTTCCAAGCCATGGATATAAGCAAATTAATGACCTGTTAGACTCCATAATAGTGGATTTACTATTTATTAACTCTTTTTTTGGTAAATATATTTTTGATATTAAGTATAACTCATTATTGTCAGACTGTAGTTTGGAAGAAAAGTGAAGTGACTTGCTTAAGATCATTCTGTCAGCATGTGGCAGGGCAAGGCATGAATGCAGGTTTCCTAGTTTTGCCAGATCTCTCTCTTACATGCTGTTTGTATATCTTTTTTTGATTTCTTTTCCCTGTCCACCTCTATTTTTTTTTTTTTTTGATGGCTCAGGACAACCAGCTAAATTTGGAAATTGAGCCAGAAGCAGAGAGAGTTTTATCAGGAACAGGATCAGCTTGCTGTCCTAGTGTGGAACACAGCTTAGACCTGAAGTGGATGAAGTAGGAATCTGCTCAATGCATGTAAGTAGGTAGATTTGTAAGCTTTGTAGAGAGTAAGCTTTGTTTTCCTTCTTACTACCTTGAAATATTCTATTTCCTATCATTTTTTGTCTTATTCTTCCTAAAGATAGTTGTTTGCTTTTGTCTTTGAAATCAGTGCTAAGAGAGAGTTAAAATTGTACTTTGCTTTTCTACATATTCCAGTTCATTCCCAGAGATATAATTCTCATGGTGTTGCCCAGATTTCTCAGAAGGTATGACAGCTGCAAAACAGTATCAACAACATCTGAGCAGGTATGTGATCAGAGAAAAGCTAAGTTATGGGCTAAAGCCATCTATATTTTCCATAATACATGATAAAAGTTTCTCTTGCTTCTAGAGCATGACACTTCCCAGCA